ATTCACTGAATCTACCAAACACTGTAACATTTTCTTGGCAGTTTTTTTATTTCTTAGGTCTTTGCAGTTTCTATTATAAAAATATGCTGTATATACTGTAGAACGCCCAGATTAGAGCAAGGGCCTCACCCACACTACACATCATTATTGTTGGAAAATACTACGTGTATAGTTTTAGTTCAGAAGTCAGATTCACGGAATTCCCCCGAAGAAAGAATTCTGAGTGTTTTTGGATTTAAGGCTTCCATAACCTTCAAGGACCAGGAATCACTAGGGAAGAACCCCAGAGAGGTGAAGATCAAGGTTAACCCCTTGATGCCAGAGGGACTGTATCTCAAATTGAGAAATTTCCTACCCTATCCTATCAAGAAGGCATCGCTAGTGATTTATATTAATAACTATCCATCAAACTAGTTAGAAACTTAAATGAATTAAACATATGTTTTATTATTTTAAATAAAACCTTACATCTCCCACCCCCCATAGCTCCAAGCAGAAGTCCCTGAATACTATTTTCCCCCTCATCTTTGTCCAGGTTGAAAATCAATGTATCTGGTTCACCTTGAATCTTGAGCTGCATATTTTTAGCAGCAGAAAAGCCTATGTAGCCAGCATCCCTGGGAAAGAGGCAGATAACCCCCCAGTGTCCTCCAGCCAAGGAGGAGGGCAGAGGGTTCAGAGGAGCAGAGTGCCTGCAGCTTGGATAATTCACCAGCCTCCGTTGTTAACCAAGGAGCTTGCTGGGTGGCGCCAGGACTAAAGGACCATGGAGCAGGAGTTAGAATTTTCAGAAAAGGTCCCTGATCTCAGGCCACCAGTTCCTTTAACTATTGAGATCAAGGTGGGAAGAAGGTTTAGAGTAATTTAAAAAAAGCTCTCATGCATTATTATTGTTATGGATACCAAGCAGTATCTATTAAGGAATGGATGTAATAGGCAGTAGGAATTATAATAGTTAAAGCTCCAATATGCTTACCATGTGCTACTCACTGTTCTGTGTTTATCTTTGTTGACTCATTTTATTATCATAACATTTTATAGATGAGAGAAAAAAACAACAACAAGGAACTGAGAGGTTGATGAACTACAAGGTGCTATGTCATTAATTATACTATGATTTCGAGGGAAGGGTTTTCTTAAAACCTTAATTTAGCAGATGAAAAAAATTGAAGGTGACTTCCCTGAGATTCCACAGCTTGCTTGAGAAAGAGCTATGGACTCTGAGCCCACAGGGTAGAAATCTTTGCTAGATTAATCTGAAGCCTTTCTGGAGGTGATGAGACTTGATCAAGCTTTGCAGTATAGAACAAACCATATTGAGGAGTGCATCTCGTTAAGATTCAGGAAGACCAGGTTCCCACCATGCCTTCCCTAAAGATTTTCATCATGGCCCACAACCTCTGCCCTGTTTATATGCCCAGAGTGATTGGAAAGGTCAAATGTTAAAATGGATATAAACTCTGCCTGGACTGCCATGTGATGGATCCACATGGCAAACTCCTATTCATCCGTCCAAACCTCATATCAAGATTCACCACTCGAAGCAGTCATCTTTTCCTCTCCCTCTCTTTTCTGGGGAAGATTTCCTCTCTTTTTTATTTGCCCTCATGATATCTTCACTCATACGGCACTTGAGATCCTCTGTGGGAAGAAGAATAGCAGAGTCTTGCCTTATTGGTGTCCTCATTCCAGTCACGTGTACAAGACTCAGGAAGTGTTTAATTAGTTATCTGAGTGGTCTTTTCTCAATTCTACAGCGTTTTCCTCTCCCTGTGTAAAAGAAGGCTAGATCATTAATTGCACAAATAATTATTAGGGAACTCTGAGCAGGGCACTGTTGTAAATGCAGGTGATACAGTTGTAAATATGATGGAATATATATTACTTAACAGAGGATGCAGCCAATGGATAGGAACATACGAGAGTATGGGAAGAGAGAGAGAGAAAGGCAGAGGGATGAAGAAAGCAACTTAGGTAGTTTATCCACTTGTGTCTCCCTAAAATTCGTATGTTGAGGTCCTAACCCTCAGTGTGATGGTGTTAGGAGACAGATCCTTTGGGTGGTAATTAGGATGTGAGGGCAGAGCCCTCATGAGTGAGATTAGTGCCTTTATAGAATTGACCCAAGAGAACTCCCTTGCCCCTTCCACCATGTGAACGTACAGTGAAAAGATGGCTATCTTTTTTTTTTTTTGTGGTACGCGGGCCTCTCACTGCTGTGGCCTCTCCCGTTGCGGAGCACAGGCTCCGGACGTGCAGGCTCAGCGGCCATGGCTTACAGGCCCAGCCGCTCCGCGGCATGTGGGATCTTCCCAGACCGAGGCACGAAGCCGTGTCCCCTGCATCGGCAGGCGGACTCTCAACCACTGCGCCACCAGGGAAGCCCCCAAGATGGCTATCTTTCAAGTGGGCTCTTGTTGGACACAAAATCTGCCAGAACCATAATCTTGGATTTCCCAGTTGCCAGAACTGTGAGACATAAATGTGTGTTGTTTATCAGTCCTCCAGTTTTATGGCATTTTTGTTACAGCAGCTCACGTGGACTAAGACATACATATACCCATCCAGTCATTCATCAAAAATCATAAGCATATATTATATGCCATGGTCTGTGCTAAGTACTGAAATATAACCTCGAACAAGATCTAATCCTTGCCCTTAAAATACTTACACCCTAGCCAAATCCCCAGTTATAATCATAATCATAGCCCTGGGATTTGGGCCACAAATATAGAATGGAAGCAAATATTCTTGCCTGTTACGGGCACAGCCTGGCTTGCAAGATTTCCTCATGGCTCTGTGTTTTCTCCTGGGAAAGGGAGCCATGGTTCCAGGGGCCCCATGCAGCAGTGACATTTCCTCTGGCTATTAATCAGCACCTTTACCAGTGCAGCAGCACTGTGGGGACAGGAGGATAGAGGATGTCTCAGATGCTATTTACTATCTCTCTAGAGAAAGTCTCTGACCTCAGTTTCCTTTATTGACCCATTTCACGCTAGTGGAGTGAATTTTCAAGGCCCTTTAGGGACAAATCAGCTCCTCTTGTCCTTGTTAAATGGACATACTCCATGTAGTCATGGATGGACACAACCTTACCATTGGGAAGATAAGGTCTGAAGTGCATAATTTGGCTGCAGTGACCCAGACTGCACCTAAGTCTTTAGAAATCAGGCTCTAGTGGCAGCATTTCATGAGCAGGACTTAGGATTGGTTCCACATTCTTATCCTAATTTGAAACAGAAGGAGGGCAGACAGAGTGACTTTGCCCCTAACTTAAATTATACTTAGGCTTCCCCAGGGAGACACCACTGCCACACGCCCCCCACCTCAAGGAGGACTGCAGAAAGGCATTGTATAGGACAGAAAGAAAGAATTGAAGGTAGAAAGAGAGAGAAAGTAAAAGAGGAGGAGAAAACAGGCATAAGGGATTGAGAGTATGATCAAACAGGGAAGATTTCCAGAGAGAACAAGTAAAAGATTAAAATTAACTAATAGGATGGATGCATCAGTCAGGATGGACTAAGTTATGCTGTAGTAACAAATAACTCTAAAATTTCAGCAACTTAAATCAACAAGAGTTTATTTCTCATTTAAGCTGCATGTCTATTGTGAGTCAGAAGGATTATTGTGATCATTGCAGTCACTCCAGAATTCAGGTAGTGGAACAGGCAGCCTCTCATCTGTTTCTGGTCACCACATCAAAGGGAAACTGAGTTCAGAAGTATCTCTAGCAATTAAATGCTCTGAACCCAATAGTAACCCACATAATTTTTGCCTGTACTATATTGGATGACCAAGTCACATGGCCCCACTCCCCCAGGAGGTACCAGAGCTATGCACTCAGGAATCAGAGAGCGCTGGTGTCTACCTCAAGGGGCCTGGGAATCGAAGGAGATACTGCTCCTGCCAGTATATTGTTTGCAGAAGTGGTCAGGTCTCCAAACTCACTCTGATGAAGATCCTGGTCCTGGTAGGAGTGTGACTACTCTTCCTGAGAGTTGAAAAGGAAACTGATAACAAAGCATAGGAAGGAACAATAAAGGCAGATAAGACCGTGTTTAATGAGATAATATTCTACTTTTTCTTTCCATTTCTTCTTTTCTGTGCAAGTTTGAATTCTGGCTCCATCTTTTATGAACTCTGTGACTTGGAGGAAGTTCCCACTCTGTGACCCAGATTCCTCACTTTATAAAAGTGAGCATAACAACATTACAAATATTAGACTTTTGTGGATATTTATTGAGTTAATACAGGTAAAGGGCTTAGGACAGTTCCTGACACACACTAATAAGTATTCCATGGTATTTAGCATCCTTCTTCTTAACAACTCGGTGAGGTAGGCTATGAGTCATGTTGAACGGGCTGGGAAGTGAGACCTGGGAGGCTAAGAATAATCAATATCATGTATGTGGTCACTAGTGGAGCCAAGGTTCACTCACTTTTAGGGACTTTGATTCCAGAGACTGAAGTTTACATTTCACATCAAAATCATCATTCCAGTTGATCCCTTCAGTAGCCCTGTGGGCTAGAGTCAACAACATTTTGGCCATTACTGCCATCACTACAACTTCCAGGTATCACTCATAAAATACCTGTGTCTGCTTTACGTAAATTATAGCTAAGCCTCCTAACAGTACCCTGAGGTTAAGTATTGTCACCTCTCTTTTTTTTAATTGAAGTATAGTTGATTTACAATATTGTGTTAGTTTCAGGCATATGGCAAAGTGATTCAATTATGTATTTTTTTTCAGATTATAATCTGTTACTGGTTATTACAAGATACTGAATATAATTCCCTCAAAGAAGTTAAATAGTGCATTAGTCTGCCAGGGCTGCAATAACAAAGTAACACAGACTGCATGGTTAAACAACATAGATGTATCTTCTCACAGCTCTGGAGGCTAGAAGTCCAAGATCAAGGTCTTGGCAGGGCTGGTTTCTTCTGAGCCCTCTCTCCTTGGCTTGTAGATGGCCATCTTCTCCCTGTGTATTCATGTCATCTTCCCTCTGTGTGTCTGTGTCCTAATCTCCTCTTTTTATAAGGACACTAGTCATATTGGATTAAGGTCCAGCTATGCGATCTCATTTTACCTTACTTACTTCTTTAAAAGCCATGTCTCCAAATACAGTCACATACTGGGGTAGTGGGGTTAAAACTTCAAAATGTGGATTGGGGGGAACACAATTCAGCCTGTAACAAGCAGCCTGCACCCAGATGGAGCCAGGATTTAAACATAGACTGTTCTGATTCCAAGTCCACATGATGCTTCCACCTTCAAGCCATTAGTAAATCCCTCCTGTATGCTTAGCACAGTGCTTGGTGTTTTCCCTTCCTTTTTTTTACATATAGTTCTCAGAGGAAATGTTGGCCCCTTTGGGTAGATGAGAAAATTAGGGACTCATGGTAGGGAGGAATTTCTTCCAGTTTGGTCACTGTTGGTCACCTTGGGGTGCGTTCAGATCTTCTTACTCTTGACTAAGAAGAAACTTTCTCCCTCCTGTAGTTTGCTCCTTTGGAAATGAGGCAACCCTTTTAAAATAATGCCATATCCATTACATCACCAAATGTTAATATTTTTTACAGTACCCACTATGTGCAAACATGAGGAAAGGCACTTAACACGTAGAAAGCAAGGACACAATGCCAGATGTTTTAGGAAATTGCAACCCAGAAGAAAAGGCAAGTAATAGGGAGTAAAATAAAAATGCCACTCGATGTTCAATGGGAAGTACTGTCAATAAATCATGTAAAAAAACATCAGAGGAAGACAAAACAACTATAGACTATGTATTCAGGGAAGACATTTTGCCAGGGCGTAAGGAATGTGCTGGGGGTAGGGGTGGCTAGAATGCCAGCAATGACAGAGACAGAGGTTCTCAAGAGGTGTTTGGGGGACAATTTCTGGTCATACTCTTGCTTATCTCTTAATGGTTCACCATTGCCTGCAAAGTAAATCCAAGTTTCGTAGGTTGCACTTTGCATCAACTAGCTGATGCTTCAGCCCTATCATCCACCCCCCACACCCACTGTGTAATGATGGACTAAGAGCCAGTCCCTAAAGTGCCTTTCATTTCTGGCTCTGGTCCTTCACTTGTGGACAGGAACAGTGGCAGAAAGGAAGATGCAGGGGCCTCAGTCATGCAGGTCCAAATTCTGGCTCTGCTACTTACTAACTAGTGGGACATTTGGCAAGTTATTCAACCTCTCACTTTGTTGGCCCATAAAATAAGAATAGTAATAACTACCTGGCAAGGGTTAGGGGAAGATGTAATGAAATGAAGTAAATAAAGTACCTAACTTACCACCTACTCTATTATATATACTCAGGAAATGGTAGTTACCATTATAATAATGAGGTCTTCCTTGTGCCAGCAGCTCGCTTCTACTGCTTCTTAGCCTAAACAATTCCCACAGCACTTGTTCACGTTTACACCTGAGCGTTATATAACTGCATCCTATGACTTACAGAGAGAAGCAATGCCATGTGGTGTTTAGGAGCTCAGTCCTGCAGTCAGTCTGCTTACCATTTATTAACTGTGTGACCTTGGGCAAGTCTCTCTGTGTCTCAGCTTTTTTACGTATAAGATGGAGAACAGAGCATTATCTCATTCACAGAGACAATTTGAAGATTAAATGAGTTTACACTATAGTGCCTGGAATATAGTACCTACTCAGTAAATGGTGGTTCTTGTTATCTCCACTTCATAGAGGAAGAAAGAGGTTATGTAATTTGACCGACGTTGAATGACTAGTGGGACAACAAATTTCAGCATCAGAATTTTGTGTTAGATGACTGTGCTCTTAATCACCAGGCATTTGGCTTCCGCATAAATAAGAAACACTTCCACCTCCAAGTCCTTCCTCACTGTCATTATCTGATGCACATACTTGACAACTCTGCAGGCCAGGCAACCATCAGACTATCAGACTAGAGATAGGAAGATCTGCCTCCGACTTCCATTCCACTTATAAAGAAATCTGCCTGGATACCACCCACTTCCTCCCTCTACCCTCAACACAGATGCATTTTGCATATGGAAACAGAAGGATCACTGGTAAAGTACCATGTGCAGGATCAAATGATCAAGACCAAAATCCGGCTCACATTGAGATGACAACTGATTTTTTGGGTTCCTGCTGCTTACCATATCCTGTTAGGCACTGGTGAGGGAGACTGGGAAATGTGTGTGTTCGATTATTTTAGGAATTGGATCATGGTTCTCTCTGGCACATGGTAGGTACTCACTAAATATTTGCTGAATGAATGAATTCACAATTAACACACCTATCTACTCGTCTCTCTCCCTCTCCCTCTCTCTCCCATCCATCCATCCATCCATCCATCCATCCATCCCTCCATCCCTCCATCCCTCCATCCACCTAACTAACAAGGCCCCTGCCTCATCTTCATAATGCTCCCTCAAATGGGGGAGAAATTGATGAAAGCAACTACTTACTGTATGGTGTGTCAAGAGCTGTGATAGAAGGGGGTGCTGTAGGCATCAAGGAAAGTTCTCATGACTCGCAAAATTGTTCACTCTGTGCCACTCAAGGTGCCATCCTGCCCACACCTATATTTTCCATACTAGCACAAAAAAGTCACGATTTCAGTGAAAGCTTATATAGTGCTATAGTTGTGCTATTAGCAAGCAGCAACAATCATGAAAAGAACTTTAATACAAATGGAACAAAGAATGGAAGAAATCAGGTTGCATTCTCCAATAAGAAAAAGCAATATATATATATATATATATTTGGGGCGGTGGGGAAAGGTGGTTCTACATGAAGAACATAATCTATATCACACAAGCAAACACTGCCCTTTCTTAATACTCTGAATCATAGATTCACCAATCTTTTTCTCTTGACCAAAAGGTCTTGTTACCTAAACAAGCTTGAACTATTTTTAAAAAATTTTCTTTGTTAATTTTGCTTTCTTAGTTCTTCTCATTTTTCACTCTATTTGCCTTAAGTTTTTTTTGTTATTTGTTTTGGTTTGGTTTCGTTAAAGACACGTCAACGTTTTTAATTAACTGTGTGTTAATTAAATACACATATATTTTTTCATATCTATTTACTAAGTAGAAAGCATATAGGCAAAAGAAGGCAAAATGGCTTCATCTATCATCTATGCGTCATACGTTCAAAATAACATATTAGGGGTTCCTTGATGTTTTTCTTACTTTCACTTTCCACATCTTGATAGTCACCAAGGCCTGTTAATTTTATGCCCTAAATTTCTCCCAAACTCACCTCCCTTTGACTACCCTTAGTCGCTGCAGTATTTCCAGTCCTCACGGGTGCCTGAACCATTGCAATGGCATCTTAAGTATCTGATCTCCATTTGCTGTCCAGCAATGCCATGCATCCCCTACAATGTTGCCAGAGGGGCGATTCTAACACCCAGATCTGATCGTGCTCTCTACTAATTCAGTGGTTCTCCATCTGTTACAGGTTTAAGTCTGAGCTCCTCCGTATGATGTGATGGACTGACCTAGCAAGATCTGACTTCTGCTTATGGCTCCAACTTCACCTGCCACCCAGACCAGCTAATAGGTAGGGATCTAACAACTCTCCATATTTAATTTTTGTCCATTGTCTGCAAAATGGCTTAAAACTCCTTCTCCTTTTAATATACTGTTTCCCTTGTCTGCTGTTTAGAGTCTTCACGATTTTTGTATGCCTCTTGTTTTTTTTCTTAACTGCCAAAACTCAAAGATAACTTTTATCCTTGCAAAGAGCCTTTATGACTCCCTTTTTACTACTAGGGCACCTTATGGGTACTGTTATCTTTATATATCGATAGATTGCATTGAAATATTTTAACTTCCATTTTTTCTTGTAAAGTAATATAACACCTTGTAAACCTTAAGAAAACATCTGAATAAGCAGAATGGAAAAAAAATTAAAATTATCCATAATTTTGGCACTCCAATGCAGCTATCATTGACACTTCGGCAGACTCTACCTATAGTCTTTTCTCTAAACGTATATGTGTTTATTTTGCAAAAATATATTCATGCTCTCCATATTGTTTTGAAATTGGCTTTTTGAAATGGAAGAGTATATTGCAAAAATTATCTCCTGCCTTTAAAATTATTTCCTAATATCACTGCCAACGCTGAAACGTATTTCCTTGGACGAATGAGATAATTTCCTATTATTCGAACTACAGTTATGTCCCAAAGTTTCACATTACAAACAAGAAGGCAATTACTCTCTTTATAACTAAATCTTTGAGTATGATCACCATTACTTCTGTTTGATAAATTTCAATGGGAGGAATTTCTGGATCAATGAGGACACTCAAGTTTAAGCCTTTTGATACGCATTTCCAAATGGCTTTCCAAAAAGGTCCTATTTATTTGCACTCCCAAAAAGCTTCTAGGGGTTTGCGCTCCCTATAAATATATAGGATACTTGATATGCAATTAAATTAAATAATTAAATTAAATAAGCAAGAAGTATCTTGTTGATCTAGCATAATCCTTTCGGACGTATATTTTCCTTTACGTTTTAAACTTATATATATATGTATGTTAATTTTATTAATTGGGTTCTCAATTCACTTTCCAGTTCATTATTTATCTTTTTTTTCTCATTGGTTCATAAAAGGTTTTTTATATTGCCCTTTGTCTGTCATGTATACCTCATAAAAATTTCATTTCTTTTTGCCGTCTGCCTTTGAAACGGAAAATGATTTATGATACAATGCCAATTGATTTGAAATGCTACCAGTATTATATATTGATTCATATATACACTCAGATCAGTTTAAGAACATTTAAAAATAATCCGTCAGCCTGCTCCTCTACCACTGCTCTATTTTTAAATTATTTTGGTTCATATCAATATTACTCTTTCTTTTTGTTTTTTGGTTTTGTTTTGTTTTTTGGCTGCATTGGGTCTTCGTTGCCGTGCACCAGCGTTCTCTAGTTGTGGTGAGCAGGGGCTACTCTTGGTTGTGGTGCACGGGCTTCTCATTGCGGCATGAGGGCTTCAGTAGTTGTGATGCACGGGCTTAGTTGCTCCGCGGCATGTGGGATCTTCCCGGACTAAGGAACAAACCTGTGTCCCCTCATTGGCAGGTGGAT